TAGTTGTTTTTATTTTTTAGTGTAATTTACGACAGAAACAAAAATAAAAGCCAAAAATCTGACTATCTCTACAATGCAAAGAACTTCAGAATTCTTTACAATGTGTTTCGTAATAATGAGTCAAAAGTTCACCTGTGTCTCTCAACAAGATGGACAGAGGTTTGACAGCTGTCTGAACCATGAGCGTTGCATGCACACTGCTGTTCATTCTTTTTCTGAACAACAGTGAGCCGTGCAACTTTGTATTGATGAATTCTCAGGCACCATATACTTTAAGAACTACTGTGGGCGTATTACACAAGATAAGTACTCAGAATGTTCTTATTCCAGAGATGACACATTTTTTTTCTAATACATAATCAACCGCCCACTGAGCTCCTACAGGCTTACAATATGTGTAGGCATTTCTGAAAAATCAAAGTAGTTATATCAATAACCTGTGTGATAAAAAAGTTTGATTTTGAGCCACAAGGATCAGAGGAACACCCAGCCTGGCTTGCATGAAAGGCAGTTGTGTTTGCTTTAAAAGCTCATTATTATTGATTTTTTGCTTGGTCTTTCGAATGACATAATCTGAGGGTACATCTTCCATACAAGTGCTGGAATGTGTAACTTCTCATAACAACTTTCTTGATCTCTCGCAGGGCTGCTGATGTTTGCCATCACTCATATTCTGTATTCGTCAGCCTTCGGCATGAAGCCCCTGAATCTGTGGGCCGGTCTGGTCATTGCAGCGGCGTCTGGGCTCTGCTATGCCTTGCTCTATTCCTACCTGGCTGGGCCCTTCACGTACTTGGTAGCCGTCTACATCGGGCTCATTGGCTTCATGGGCTGGAGGGCCATCGCCGGGGTGCAGCTGTCCGACGACCTCTGGACCTGGACGAAGCTCTCCGCCTGTCTCGGGGCCGTCCTCTTCATGGTATCAGACCTCACCATTGCCGTCAATAAGTTCTGCTTCCCGGTGCCTCACTCCCGCGCCATCATCATGGCCACCTACTACGCTGCACAGATGCTTATTGCCCTGTCGGCTGTAGAGTGCCAGGATGAGGATCGCCCCAGGAAGAGAGTGTGATGCCGCTGGGGGGCACGGGCATTGGTGCCAGGGACCCCTTCTCTCAGGCCGGAGTTGCCAGTCTGAATTTTATGGATGTTGCAGCTCCGACAAAACCGGTCCTCGTACATACTGCTGGGCTTCCTCTTGTCAGGCCTAGCAGCAGGTGGGATTGGGGGTGTAATTTGTATGCTGATGGATTGGTCATATAAAACACATACAGTGATTGAGCCCACCATCTTTCAGCAACCCCCATGCCCTACTCACTACCGCCTCTACCCAGTCAGCATTTAGTCAGAACTGGAAATTCAACTGTTGAAAAGGGAGCCATCCCTTACTTAATTCCTTTTTGCCTTCCCTCCACCTGTGGGAGACTGGTTATTGAGCTCTGTTTTGCAGCGTTCTAGTGTTGGACCTATACCCTAGGTGACAGCTCTCTTGTTTTGGCTGTCCAATGAGTAACATAACCAGACTGCCCTGTATGAGTAGTGCTACTGAAAACACCTTTTTTTGCATACTGTGCATCATATTTATTTCTGCACCCCTGGTCCAGAGGGATGGCGCTCATGACAGAAGTGTTTTTAGGTCTTGAAAAATGGAAAATGGAGTAAGCACTTGTTTCAGATTAGGGTCCATTAAGATCAGGAGCTGGTTTTCTCCTGACTTATAATAGTTACATACAGCGGTAAGAATGCACATTATTTTAAGAATGTTTTGAGGTGCAAAAGAAAACATCTTTACCCCATTTTGTGAAGAGGTTTACAGGTCTGCGGTATGGCTAAGAATTTTGTTCTATTAATTCCTGCGAGTTTAAGGGCT